AAGAGCACAATGATGGTGCCAACTTGGGGCAGTGAAGCAATGTCTTCCACAACTAGACTGAAGAACAAAAAAAGGAGAGCAACTTGTCTGTTCCCCTTCCCCCAATTCCCCAGCACTGTTCCCATCCCCCCAATTCCCCAATAAAAATCTTAAAAAAAAAAAAAAGAATTCCCATAAGGCAACACTAGACCATTAAACCTAGTGTGGGCCCTTTTGAGCTTGGGGCCCTGTGTGACTGCCCTGGTCACATGCCCATAGAGCTGCCCTGCCTGGAGCCACAGCTCAGTTGCTCACTGGTGGCCTCCTAGTCCCAAGGCTGGCCATACCCAGTGTGCCCAGCAGCACCCCAGCCTGTCTTTGGGGAAGGGTCCAAGGGCTGCTGCAACTGCTCTAGGCAATCCCAGAGAGCACTTGTTATTCACGACACAAGTGCAGAAACCCCCTGCCCCTTAGAAGATGGGGCTCAAGTTGTCCCACAGAGTGGCAGTGCCCGGCTTTTATCAGGGGGATGGTATGAGAGGGTGGGCAGAGCCCAACAATGAAAGGGTTGGGACAGGTTGGCGGACAGTGTGGTGGGGGAGGTGAGGAGTGTGGGGTGTGGGCCATTGGGGCTGGGCTGGCTGGGCAAGTGTCCTGTGGCTGAGCCAGACCCGGGGTGCCCAGGCTGCCTGTCAGCTTTGGACAGGGGTTAGAAGGGCATGTCAACCCCTCGGGCTCCAGGAGGCTGCTCAGATGGGTCAGCAAGGCTTCAGGTTGGGGACTGGGTTTCACCCAGGCAGGCAAAGTCCTTCCCATCCTGGATGATCTCCGGGGACACAGGCTGGAGAGCTAACTTCTGTTCTTCCAAGAGGGTGGGGTTCCTCTAGTAAGGGGTCAGGCAAGGCCTTTCTAAGGAGGCAGCATTTGAGATGGTACAAGGAGCTGGGTGGCTTGTGGAGCTCTGGGCAGAGGGGACAGAAAATGTCAAGGGCAGGACTGAAGTGGACATGCTCAAGAAGCAGCAAGGAGAATGGCTGGTCAAGGAAGGAGAGCTCTTCACAACGGGAGACCACTGCGGAGTTGTGAGCAGAGATGCACTGTGATCTGGGGGGGGGGGGGGGCTCAAAGGGCAAGGAAGTTGCAGGAACCAGGCAGGGAGAGAAGGGCAGCTGGGACTCGCTTGAGCGCAAAGGGGAACAGCCCCTCAGGGGTGGGTCTGAGCTACATTTTGAGGCCACAGCAGACAGGATTTGCTGGCAGGCTGGATGCAGGGGGAAAGGAGAACAATTCAGGGTGGGTCCAGGGTTTCAGGCCAGGGCACTGGGGTCGAAGGTCATAGGGAGGAGAGACTAAGGAATCGAGTTCTGAGTGAAGGAATGTAAAGGACCAGTAAGTATGAGTTTCCCATTTTTCTCTAGCCAAGTCTTGGTGCCTGGATGTAGGTGTGCGTGCAGTAGGCAGACAGCTTGGTCTAAGCCGGGGCGATAGAAGAGTGTGTGTTGGCGGAGGGATTGATGATAATTGTGGACTGTGGGACCTGAGCTGGGAACGCACAGAGGGGGACAGGAGCCAACAGGTGCAGGACAAGGAGCTCCAGTTCTCGGCTGTGACATAAGCAGCCTGCCTAAGTGTCAGCACTTGAAACAGCAGCGATCTCCTCATCGTCCCGGGCTGGCCGGACTCAGCTGGGTGGCTCCACTCCACGAGTGGAGCTGGGGCTGCTCGTGGGGCTGTGTCAGCTGGGAGCTCAGCTGTGACCAGCGTGTCCAAGATGACCCACGTCCTCCAGGGCCTCTCTAAGTGGTGCATTGTTGCTCAGCAGGCTATGTTGCTGCTAGATTCCGAGAGAATATTGCAGGAAAACAAACCCCAGGGGCCGCCATCCCATTAAGCCTCTGCCGGCATCACTCACACTGATGTCCCAGTAGCCAAGCAAGTCAGCTGGCCAAGCCAAGTGTCAGTGTGGAAGGGTCCACCAAGGGGGTGACCAATAGATGCAGTTCACCACAGTGCTCCCTCTGGCCCCTCCTAAGACCCCAGTATCTCGTTTCATCACAGCCTTTAGCTCAGGCCTCACGTCCAGGACCTTCACCTAAGTCAGGTCCAGGTACAGACAGGGTTTCTCAGATGTCCTTCCTTGGGTGAGCCCATTGTGTGGGTCCTCAGTGCACAGACCTATGAACTAAGAAAGCACGTTCGCTTTCCCTCCACACGTACATTAATGCGACGGGGACAGAAAATCTGCAACAGGGAAAGGACAATTGGTAGCTTTGCAGTAGAAAAACCTGGAAGATGGCACCTTAACCTAATGACCGAGGTCAGCATCACAGTGGTGAGTCATGTGACGTCACATACCCTGTGCTGTGAGGCTACCTCACCTCTCCAAACCCAGAACCCCGGATAATCACAGGAGAACTTTCAGATGAACCCCAACTGAGGGACATTCTACAAAATTGACCAGCACTCCTCAAAACTGTCAAGGTCATGAAAAAGAAGGAAAGACTGAGAAATTGTCACAGGTCACAGGCGAGTAAGGAGACGTGACGACTTAATGCAGTGTGGGATGTCACTAGTCACGTGCCAACCTACCTCGCCCATGTCCTTCTGTCTTCCCGTTCTGGCTTCTGTGCTATCTGCTTATACATTTTACTTCTACACATGTTGCAAATCTCATGTACATTGTTATTTCTTATTTAACCAGGTGATTATCTTTTAAATAATAAGAAAGTCTTTACATGTACCCACATGTAGTTACAATGTCCATACTTTTCATTCCTTTGTGGAGATCCAGGTTTTCATCAACTGTGTCCTAGGACATCCTTTAGGATTTCTTGGAGCTGGTGACGAATTCTTTCAGTTTTTGTATGTTCGAAACGTCCATTTAACCTGCGTTTTTGAAAGGCAGTTTCATTGGGTGTAGGGTTCTAGATGGTCGATGTTTTGCTTTCAGCACTTGGAAGACGCTGCCCCATGTTGGCTCACTCATTTTATTTCCATTAGAAACCTATCCGCGTCTTTATCTTTGCTCTTTTGTACACAGTGTTGCCATGTTCTCCTTCTCTCTGGAAGGAAATTTCCAAATTTCCCTTTATCATTGGATTAGGATGTGTTGCAGTGTGGCTCTCTTCCCATCGCATGTGCTTTGGGGATGTTGACCAAAGTCTTGGACCCGTAAGTGTATAATTTTCATGAAACCTGGAAACATTTTGGCCATCACTTCTACAGATTTGTTTCTTCAACCTCTCCTCCCTTCCAGGACCCCATTACATGTATGTCCAGCGACTTGAAGCTGTGCATCAGCTCACTAGTGCTCTTCTCTTTCCCATCAGTCTTTTGCCCTGTGTTCCCCTTCGGGTCATTTCTACTGCATGTCCTCAAGTTCACAAACCTGCAGTGTCTAATCCAGCATTAATTCCATCCTGTATGTTTTTTAAAAGTCTCAGGCATTGCAGTTTTCATTTCTAGAAGTCCAACTTGGGTCCTTTTTATTTTTTTAAAGATTTTATTGGGGGATTAGGCAAGGGGAACAGTGTTGGGGAATTGGGGAACAGGAACAGCCAAGTTGTTGTCCTTCAATCTTAGTTGTGGAGGACGCAGCTAGCTCAGCTTCAAGTCCAGTTGCCATCCGGCCGCCCGTCGACAGTTTGCAGCCGCTCAGCTCAAGGTGCCGCGTTCAATCTTAGTTGCAGGTGGGCATAGCCCACCATCCTATGCGGGAGTCGAACCGGCAACCTTGTTGTTAAGGAGCACGTGCTGTCACCAGCTGAGCCATCCTGCCACCTGTTGGCAGCTCAGCTTCGGCGCAGCTCACTGGCCCATGTGGGAATTGAACCGGCGACCCTTTTGCTCAGAGCTTGTGCTGTTAACCAACTGAGCCA